CTATTAATAAAGATGATTGATTTATATATAACCATTTCATAACTGTTTTTTTACGTGGACACATTTTCTTACTCATTTTACTTGTTTTAATATAAATCTTTTTCATTATCTTAAGTTTTAAATTTATAATTATTTTTTAAATTTAATTAACTACTTTCAATAAACAAAATTATTTATAATAAAATTATAAAAATTATCTTATTCATTCAAAAATTATGATAAAAAATATTTTTTTATTATCATATATAATAAAAGAACTGAATACAGACACATTTCTTACACAGCTTTTAAATAATGAAATATGAATTTTGTAGTTGGATTTTACAATTAATGTGATAAGTTATTGTATAGTTGTCTAGTTTGTTTTTAAGATTATGTAATTGGTTATGATTTGTCTTAAATGGTTTTGGTTGGCCATTGCCAACCTTACTTAGGTTGAGGACAATAATGGAACCAACACCCCTTCTATAAATCTACTCTTAGATTTCACTTTCTTCTCTTTATATTCTATTAGTAATATTGTACCAATGGCCACATATTTAGTTAAAACATCAAACGCCAATTTTGGTGGCCAAGTTTTCAAGCTGGTGAGTCTTTTCTCCCATGTCATTCTTGCACGACACTATGTCCCAAAATTCGTGTTCTTTCATGACACATGAAATGTTTTATCGAGATTATTATGTTTTGCTTAGGGTTTCACGTTCATTGGTATTAGGTTTTTGTGCGTGCATGACGAGAATGTCTCAAAATTTAACGGATCTTATTTTGTTTCCGTTTGACAATTGCATCATCTGTTTACTGGGTTTTATATAAATTAGCATGTGTTTCCTTGTTTGATGTATGAGTTAGCGATACGATTCTGGTTATGGAATGCTTAATTTATACAATATTATTGATCAAATCTGTGAAATTGTTGTTTTTATGAGTTTGTTACATCTGCGCGTTTTTTTCTTCCAGAACAAGAAACCTATAACATGTTAGTGATTGATCGTTCATACTTTCTCGTAAATGTCCATGTTGTCTTGATAAGCCAATGCTCAAAATCATCTTTTTTTCCTGCAATGTTTTTCTTTTTTTAACAAACAATCCAGAAATTGTCGTTTATAACGTACACTTAGCCATGCTTTTGTGTGATCAAATATCATGTGATGCTTAATCTATTTTGATCTGCTCCATACAATGTTAATTGACGTAATAATGTTGATTTATTATTGACTATTTTCTTCTTGTGATGTTTGAATCTGGGTTTGCAATTGGAAATTTCAAGATGTTTTAGCAACATATTCAACTAAAGCTCGAACACATACTCTAGTACGTGTTCAGTTGCTTATAATATTCCCTTCATAAATGGGTTGTTTTCACTCCAAAGTTAGGGAGATTCCCATGGAAGATCCGTTTGCTCTTGCGTCAGAGACAGCTTGTAAGTTTTTTTTTTTCTAATGATCAATATTACAAAATTATGATTCTTCCACAATTGTAACATTGTTATTTGATTGTTATCAAGACAAAACCAAACCTTATTTATGGGAAAATAAATTGATGTTGTTACTGCACATGTCATGTAGATCAAAACAAAATAAAGTGACCGTGAGATGCATTTTTTTTTCAATTGTTTAACCTATATTTCACACACATATATATAGACACTCTTATAGATTTAACTTATTTGTTAATTTTTGGTTTCTCAGTTAGTGTAAGTGATGTTGAAGCACTATATGAGCTGTTTAAGAACATTAGCAG